GCATAGGGTACACCTAAGGACTTTTACTGCAAGCTTAATTTTGGCTTCCTTACTGTAGGTTCAGTCAAGCTCTGCCTTAGAGTAGAACAGGCTCTTTCCTTGTGCACACTTCAGTAGTTTGTGCATTTGTGCCCTGTAGTTGAGGCAGGAAGGGTATTGGTGAAGGAAACTCAGCTCATGGCACAGGGTGGAGTGTGCCCATTTGTGGCTATTGTCCTCTCCATGCCCTTCTTCATTGCATTTCCTGCCCCAGCTTCACTGTTGGCATTCTGTTCCTCAGCTGGCATTCTCCAACAGCTTTTCCTAAGACTTCTGTTTCGCCTTTGGGGCATGTATGTAGATTGTATTCTGCTTCCTGGCCTCGCTCTGACGAGCCACATTTGCCATGGTGAGAGCAGCCCGTTGAAAGAGGAGTATTTGGTAGTAGTTCAAGTGTTGGACAAGATGCAGGGGAAGGCTCAGGATTCAGAGCTGTGTGCTTAAGCAGTCTGGGAAGGTTTGTAGCTTCCTGGATACCACAATGGCCAAATGTTTCTGGTTACATCCTAAGCGTTGCTGGAGGTTCTTGGAGAGCTGAGTTTTCTGCCCGGGTCCCAGGGCTCTTCTCCGTTTACTGCTGACTAGACAGACGTGTCTCAGACCTGTGGGTCAGCTTTTGTGCTGGGAAGTTGATCTCATAGCACAGTGGGAGATGCTTTCTTTTTTTTTGTTCTTAGACTGGGTTTTCTTCAGCAGAAAGCTGGCTCACCCCAGTCCAGCCTGACTAGAAACCACCTTGCTTTTCAGCACAGATGCTGGCTGCTGCTCCTCTTTGCTCACGAGTCACCAGGAACCCACTGGCCAAATGCTGTAGTCCTCTTGCCTGGTGTAATGGTGTTTTCTGTTCTTGTGCTTTGCTCCTGAGTGCTCTGAGGTTGTTCAGGGAACGTGCAACTTCTGCCATCGTGACGTTGAGGTCTGTATTTATCCCTCGCCCGTGGCCCGGCTCCAGAGTCGTCAGTGACCATCTGCCTTAGCCCCCCACGGGGCCTGGCGCTGGCCACAGTCTGAGCAGGTGGATGTGCAAGCTGCTTACGGCAGAGGCACGAGCCAGCAGTGCTTACTGCAGGCAGCTTTCTCACTGTGTAATGCATCACAATTTAAAATGTTTGTTCTCCCTTTTATTCAGGAAAATAACTTCACTAGTGAGTCAGGAAACATTGCCAGCATTCCCATGCAAGACTGCTTATAAAGAGTAGGAGGACCAGCATTGTGGTGCACTCTGCAGTAATTCTCACACCCATCTGCCCTCACCTCTCATCATGTGGTGACCTTTGAGGCTGAGGTTTCTGACACCTCAAGTTGCACCATCAAAGAGGGCAGGTTTGGTGCTGGTCTGGTAAGACATCTGTAATTTTCAGCCAGGGTTCAGTAATGTTTAAGAGGTGTCTGGCTGGGTCTTCACTGTGTCTGTGGAGGGACTTATTCCCTGCTGGAGAGTGACCTCAGTTTTGGGGACGGGATTTACTCCACTTAATGGTTAGGAAAAACAGAGTTACCTTGTGTGTCTTCCTGAATTTTGTTTGGAAATGTGCTTTACTACAAGAAAACACATCTTATTGCTGCTCTTTATGCCCATCCTGCTAAAAAGCGCTTGAACAGTGAGGTTTGCAGTTCACATTTGGAGCTGATACACTGACAGACAAATGTTTAGACTTAAATATTGTAGAGCAAATTCTCTTCCAGTACAAGAGTCTTTAGCTGGGGAGGGTAACAAAATATGGGATGTGGTATGTCCTTGAGTAGTCATGGATAACTCTGCTCCTGAACCTCATCCCCCACGTCTCCAGTCTGGCTTGATGGGAGATGTGTCTCACAGTCTGCCAGAAAGGGGGAGGCTAAACTGGCCTGGATGTTTTACTGCTGTTTGAACTGTAGTGGTGGTTTTGGAGGATACCAAAGGATCTGCTTGGATGAAATGGTCTCCCTCAAACTGTTTCTTGGACTGTGCTCTGCATTTTGCAGTCTAATTGGAAGGATTCTGAATTTAATAAGCCAGCTAAAATAGTTGAACCCATGCCTTTGTTTAACAGATGAAGGATGAGTAATATTTAGGACTTCAAATAGTTTTCTGCTTTGTATTTGTTTGAAACTGCTGGAATTCTTCTGTCTTTATTTGTGGATAGTGTCCATGTTTAGTAATAACCCTTTACTTTGAGTTAGTTTGATAAAAACCACTAAGCTTTATCTGAACTATAAAGTGTCTGTTCCTTAAGTCCTGTAGACATCTTGCTCTTTAAAAATGTTGCTTCTGAAATGCTGCTTGCCACAAAGTATTTTTTTCTCACATTTCATTTGTACATGGGAAAATACTGCCTATATTACTGTTTCTTTAGAGTGCGTGGATCAATGTGTGGGTTTGGACTCTCTCTCCACTTCATGCCCAGCTCCTTCTCTTGTCTCACAGCCTCAGAATGTTTTGTTTCTGTGACTGTCACTTCTTCCCAGGGTGCTTGCACATCCAAAGCTTGTCATGTTGGGTTTTCCTGGGGGTGCTGGGGCCCTTGGCAGTGAGCCCAGGGTGTTTGGTGGCTGCAGCGATTCTCCCAGGAGCTCTGGATGAGTGCAGTCATCTTGCAGGTATCTCTAGGCCAGAGGAGAATGCTTGAGGGACTTGGCAGAGTGGGTGGCTGTTGTCCTCAGAATGATTCAGGTGGCATATGCTTCCTGTTGCTCACTTTTAGGAAAGAAGGCTGCTGAAATTAGGATTCAGATCTCTTGCTTTGATGACCAAAATCTGCATGTAGCCTACAGGTGAGGTATCCCTAACTGAGAACTGTCACTGTGGGCCTTGGGGGTGTTTGTGATCTCCATCTGAAGTTACTGAAGGTGTCTGCAGCTAGTGAATCTGCTTAGCTAATGCCCCTGCTCCAGAGCATTCCTTCTGTCACTGGCAAAACTGAGACCCTGAGACACTTCCAGTGAAAGCTGAGACTTGTACCAGACCTGAGAGTCACGTGCATGTCTTCTGAGTATGCCAGTTACTGTTGTCACACTTGCAAATCTCTTATTCCTCTTGTCCTGTGAAGTTTAAACTACAGGAAGGTGTGAGTTAAACTTGTCCTCTGGATTGTTTGGAATAACTGAAAACTGCTTTGGTCACTGGCAAAATAAAAGAAACCAAGTCCAAGACGAAGCTATGTCAGGAAGGGGAGACTTAAGTCTGTGGTGAAGCATTTGTCTGGAGTCTGTGAAGTGCTGGCCTATTGCAGATGCTGGCACCTCGTTTGTTCTGGGATGTCAACTGCCTTAAACCCAACCAAAACATCTCTGACGGAAGCGTCTGCAGCTGAAATTTCTTCTTGTTGATAAAGCAAATGAGCGGGAGGGGAGAAATCCCCAGTGTGTTTTTGTTTGGGATATGACTTAGGCTTTGAGTGAATTTAGGAGGCAGACTTTGAGGGATACCTTGAATAGATTTTGATACCAGTTGCTACAGAGAGGGACCATTTGTGGATTTTTTTTTTTCCCCTCCTATTCCCTGGCCCCTGCCTTAAAAACCAGCTAAATATTCACATTGTTCCCCTTTACACTGCATGTGGTTGCGTGGTCATGTAACCACAAAAGGAAATGTTTTCTGTTGGGTCAGTGAGATGATTCAACTCAAATGTACGTACACTCATCCTATCCCAAAATCCAGTGCGAGGGAGCAAGCGGGAATGTGCGGATAGGGAGAGGGAAGCATTGTCCTGTTGCAGGGAGCTTTTGGGTTAGATTGGGTTAAAGGTGTTATGAAGGTATCAGCCCTCCTTTTGAATCTCTTGAGCTGCATCTCTGACATGATTGAATTGGAGGGGAGGGAGCAGAGCCTGTGTTCATCCAGAACTTCCCTAGCCATGCACTGTTGTGTAGCTGTGGAGACATCCCGTGGCCAGATGAGGAACAGCCTGAACCGTGTCCCTTGTTCAGACCTCCAGGATCCCTCAGTTCTTAAATTACTGCCCTTGGCTGTTGCTGTGCTAAGAAACTGGAAATGTGATGCATTTGGAAACTCTAGTCACCACATGGTTCTTGTACCAACGTTTGGATAACTCATCGTTGTAAGGAAATCCTGTGGCATTTTCCCCAGCAGTTTCAGGATCAGCTGTGATCCAAGCTGGAAAGGGCAAATCATCTGGAGAGAATTTGGGCAGCTTGACTTTTCCATCATCCTGTTACTGTGCCGGGCACTCTGCAAACATTAAAAGAGCATCTGCTTCTCCAAAGCACTTGTAATCTCATTTACACTTAGCAGTATGTCTCACCTTCCTCTAGAGCTCAGGGACTTGTGCATATAGGTGCTGTGAATGCATCAGGAAATAGCTGTTGTCCTGAGGGGTTTGGAGTAATAACGGAGAGAATGTGAGAGGAATCCATTGAGTTACAGCGTACACACAGTGACAGGATGACTGTCCTACTCTGAGAGTCTTTATGTCAGTGCTTGAAGGGAAATAAGCAGTAAAGGAGAGGAATAGTGTGAGAGTGGGAGGTGAACAGGAATTATTTAGTTGTTTGGATGTTAAAAATGCAGATGCACAAGGAGTGGGACTCAGGTTCTGGAAATGTTTGTCACACTGCCTGTGTCAGTCACCGTTAACTGATAGGCAGCTGTGGGCTTGGTTTTAATTGGGCTGCAACTCACAGTTAGTGCTCCATTATCACACTGCCTTCCTGATAAAATGAATGAGGAAGGAAATAGTATTTTTTAAAGATGTGAGGCTCAGAATAGCCATATCTCCTCCCTTCCCTGTCTACTGTCAATCCTATTGGAGAAGTTCTAGATGGGACTGCCTCTGAATTAGCATGTGTTTACCTGTAGGATTAAAGACGTGGTGAGGAGCATGCTGGAACAAGCAAGGATGTAAATAGAAAACAGAAGAGGAACAGATATGGATATAAATAAATACTAAAAACTCTTCCAAGCGAACAGGGAGCGAATGTAAGTGGTCCTTTATTTCCAGGAATCTCTTTTGCTCTTTCAGATCACTGCAAGGGAGCAGACTGCCAGGATTTCCCCCCTGTGGCTGCCTGACTGCTGCTGAGCTACCCCTCCCAGCCCATGTGGCTCTCCCCATGCTCCAGGAGTGCAACTGGTGCTCAACGCAATGTGTGTTTGTCAAACCATGGAAGTGGGCAAGTATGGCAAGAATGCCACTCGATCTGGAGACCGGGGGGTCCTGCTGGAGCCTTTCATCCACCAGGTGGGCGGCCACAGCAGCATGATGCGCTACGACGACCACACCGTCTGCAAGCCCCTCATCACCAGAGAGCAGCGCTTCTACGAGTCTCTGCCCCCGGAAATGAAGGAGTTCACACCTGAGTACAAAGGTGAGGCCTCTCATCAGTCCACAACACAGTTACGTGCTTCAGGAACCTGCCCTGCCGTTTTCCTGCTAGCTTGCTGTCCTTTGGTGTCATTTTATTTGTTGCTTATAACTCTTTTTTGCAGGCTAATAATTTGATAGGAGCATTTAGAAAGGAGGAAGTTGGTTTTTTTTGTTGTTTTTTTGTTTTTTGGTTGGTTGTTTTTTTTTTTTTTTTTAGGCACAGAGTTAAATCTGTTCCTCTTTCAAGGCAGAGAATGTGCAGTGTGACAGTTGTAGTCCAGAGCTTAAGGTTATGGATGTGTAACTGAAGCAGTTTCATTACCAAGTTGTCAATTACAGCCTTGACCTTGAGCTAATGAAGTTAGATCATATACTGAGCATTTGCACATTCCAGTTCTGTAATTTATTGCTTCCTTATTCCATCTCTTTTATGGGCCTGTACCAGCAGGCTGCTGAAGCAGGAAACATGGCTTTCCCAGCGCTGAGGTGAAGCCTTGTCCCCAGCTGCTTTGAAGGAGTGGAATTTTCCAGTGCCTGTGCTGGTGTAGGTTGGCAGCTCGGCTGTGTCTTTCAGAAGCTTGATACGCTTCCGGCCACATGCGTTCGTGTTCAGGGTGGTGATGCAGGCAGGTAGCCTTCTGGGGGGCTCAGCATTCCTGTTCCCTCTGCTTCTTTGTCTCCAGGTGGCACTGGGGGAGTGGTGCTTCACGGACAGCTGGGACCCCATCTGCTCAGGAGCACTTTGGATCTGGCTGCAGCCTGACACTGTCAGAGCAGTGTCAGTTTACCTGCCGGTGTCTGTGTGCAGGTCGTGCATCAGGGATGCAGTCCCCCAACAGATGGGTCCTCTTGTACCCTCCAGCCACTCTGGGGCCGTGCAGTGCTCTAGTGTGTCCCATCAGGAATCCCACTGAAGCCTATGGAGTTCCTAGAATCATGTCAGGCTTTCCTGGGGAGGTGTGTTTGAAACCAGTGAGGCTGATAGTCCAGATGGAGACCTGTCTTTTTGAAGCCAGATACTTCCTGGTAGCCTAAAGGCATAGGATGTACACCTCTACCCCAGTGAGGGATTTCATCTGGGGGTCCTGTGCAATTTCCTGACAGTCCCAGAAATTGTTCCTACTGATCTGGAAGAGAGGAATATTGGGGTGATATTTGCTGTCTGAGCACTCGGATGTTATCTCGAGGAGCATGTGCAGGCAGCCAGAGCACTTGAAGTGACATTTATGTAGTGACATGCTGGAGTCCTGAGCTGCTCTGGAGTTGTGTTTGAGCCACCTGAACTTTGTTAAACGTTGTTGTGCAGATTCAGAGAGAGGAAGGACAGGAACACGATGGTCTGCATCAGCTGAGCAGGACAAGGTTTCCTCACATTTGTGATGAATCATTTGATTCAGTGGATCTCTCATATGGTGCTCCTGGCAGCTTTTCAATACTGGTGACAAGCTAATGAAATATTTTGTCATTGCACATCAGGAGAGGGCTGATGGCCTCATTTTCGGGGCTGGAGGAGTCCCAGATATGAAGATGTCAGTTGTAATTGGAAGTGTCAGCTGTCCTGTTCTGTGGCTGACCAGATAGGTATATTCTGAGTCTGTGCTGTGAAAGATCTATACCTTCCCTTGGACTGTGGTGCTTTCCAGGAGCCTTCAGAAGGTAATGGTGGACAGGACACACACAGTCCTGCCTGCCTGCATCTGTCTGAGGTAGTTACACTTTTATTGCTAGGGAGCCCTGGGACCTTGCAGATCCCTCTTCTGTGAGACTGGCTGACTTGTGATAAGAGTGGCAGGTGTCACCTCAGCCTTAGGGCTCTGTAGTTCATAGCTCTGATACTGGAAAGCTCCTTTAGCAGAGAAAGCACAGTCCTGCTTGGCTGCTGATGTCCCTGTCAACAGCAGGAACGCTTCTGCAGGACATAGGTACTTAGCCAGAGAACTAGATACTTACTTCATATGCTTCACTCCCATCAGAGTCTTGGCAGACTGTGCTTGACTCCCTCCAGTTTGACGACATTTGCTGCAAGGCTGAAGGAAGGAAATAATCACACCCTCAGCCTACCAGCTGCACTTTTGTCCTTGTTTCCTGTGGTGGCAGAGCTTCCCCTGCTGCCACCGACCGTTGGCTCAGGTAGCAGCACAGAGAACTCTAGGGGGGTTTTTCCTCTGTGCTGTGCTGACAGCAGTTGGGTTCTTGCAGTCTTAAACCCCTTTTCTCTGCTCCGGGTTTGCTCTGCTGCTCTGTGAGCTGCATTTTCCAGTCCCTGCTGCTGAACGTTTGGGTTGTATATTCCCTCTACTGGGAAACAGAACTGACACGTCGCTTCTGCCTTGCAGGTGTGGTTTCTGTCTGTTTTGAGGGAGACAGCGATGGCTACATTAACCTGGTGGCCTATCCCTACGTGGAGAACGAGGCTCTGGAGCAGGATGATATGCCAGAGAGGGACCAGCCCCGGCGCAAGCACTCGCGCCGGAGCCTTCACAGGTCAAGCAGCGGCACCGAGCACAAGGAGGAGAAGCCTGGCCTGGCCAGTGACAGCACTGAAAGGTAAAACTTTGAGTGCCAGCATGATGAGTGGGAGATCTCTCTTCCCCATTCCTTTGGCTGAGGATGTTTTGCACTTCCATATGGTGGCCAGGCTGTCATGCACTTGCTAGCCCGGCACGTTGTGGCAATACAAACTGTGTCAGGAGTTTTGCTGGGTTCAGGACCAGCTCGTCCACATGAAATGTTTCTGACACAGAATAACCCTTGGCAGTGTATGAGATGTGGCACCAAAACGTGGAGAAGATTCAAATGCTTCTCCAGAGGTTTCTTCCCAGGATACTTTTGAATATGGGTCTCTGCCTCATCTCACCAGCCAGAGCTCCCTGAGAAACAAGTGTTCATGCTCACTTGTATCAATTAGGGTAACAGCCTAGCAGAGTTGTTAGATAGACCAGATCCTTGAGTATAGATCCACAGCCCAGGATATTAGTGAGGATTTGCTCATAAGAAGGTTTGTGTTATGTGCAGCAGAAGGAACAAACTTGTGGTTGTGTGCCAGGGGAGGATGTGACAGTCATAAGTACCTAACTCATGGATTCTAACAGGCAAGTTTGTTCTGTCTTTACACCAGCAGCATCCAGGAATCGAAGAGTCCCAGGGTGGACTTGCACATCCACTCAGATGTTCCATTTCAGATGTTGGATGGGAACAGTGGTCTGAGCTCCGAGAAGATCAGCTATAACCCCTGGAGCCTGCGCTGCCACAAGCAGCAGCTGAGCCGCATGAGGTCAGAGTCCAAGGACCGAAAGCTGTACAGTATCCTTTGGGAAGCACAGCTGGGTGTGTCAGGTGGGCCTGAGGCAGCTCAGCCTGCATTTCCTTTGGCATTTTTGTCCTTCACAACCACACTTGAGTTACATGTTCCTTTTTACTGTTCCTTCCTGCTTCCCATACTGTAACACTGATGAGTCACAGACTGGTTTGGATTGGAAGGAACCTCAAAGACCACCTCATTCCACCCCCAGGCAGTCTGACTGGCTGCTTCGTATGGTTGAAGATGGGTTTTGATGTTTCCTGTGCCTTCACAAATGGTTCTTCCTGCTTTTGCTGCAGTTGCCAGCTTGTGGGGTTATTTTGTTTCACCTGGTGGATCTTGATTCTGTTTTCCTCACATAGAAACAGACTTACTTTTAATAGCTGTATTCTTCATGAATACAGCCCATGCTGTGGGCTTCCTTCTCCAATTCTCAAGTGTGTGCTTCAGGCCTCCAGCTTTTATTTTTAAATAGCCTGCATCACTTGCAGAGAAATCATTCTCTCTGACTGTCCTGCCCTTTTTAAACAGACTTCCTTATTTTTATGAAGTTCCACTTTCAAAACCAAACACAGTTTCTCTCTTGCAGATTTAATCTAGCTGTGCTCTGATTGCCTTTCAGGGTAACATGTTGACCTGTGCCCTGTGGGGCAAACTTTTGGGGTTCTTTTTCCTCCCTTTGGAATAAGCTGCTGCCCAGAGTGCCTGAGGTGCGTTGTCGGCACTGTGCCCTGATGGGAGGGCTGCCCATTGTGTGCTGATGATGACTGGGGCTCCTGTTACTGCGCTGTTTCCTGGCTTTGTCACCTCCCCACTTCCCCCCCACGAGTCAGGCAGTGTTGCTGTTCTGGACAGGCCAGCCTTGCTGTTACTTGAGCCTTGAGTTTTCAGTCCATGGGGATTGTATTGTTTACCCATATGGCCAAATGGCTAATTTGATTAGACTTTAAGCTCTCTCCTAAGGGATCAGCAATTCCTGTTGGCATTCCATGTCCTTCCTCTCACCAGTGTTTTCCCCTGTTGGATTTCCAGTACATGTGCATGTGACCTCCCCGCCTACTGCTGGCCTTCCACTTTCCAGGGTGTTTTCTTCTACCAGCTGTCAGAGCCTGGGTGCCACACTGTTTGGGTGTTGACTTCTCCCTCACCCACCCCAAACAGTTTGCCCTGTCTGTTCTTGGGTTCCCATTTCTTTGTTGCCCAGCCCTATCTCCTGCTGGCCCACGTCCCTGTCTGTGGCAGCCCTGGGGTGTCTCTGGTGGGTGAGCTCTCCTTGACGTGCCTCCCAGAGTTCCTCTTGCTGGAGAATGTGGTGCATCACTTCAAGCTTCCCTGCGTGCTTGATCTGAAGATGGGGACCAGGCAGCACGGAGATGATGCGTCTGAGGAGAAGGCTGCTCGGCAGATGAAGAAATGTGAACAGAGCACTTCTGCCACCTTGGGCGTGCGTGTGTGTGGGATGCAGGTAGGGGTCCCCTAGGCTGTAGGTGCTGGACATTCCTTTTTGCAGCCTCATTAAACCTCTCAGTTAGCGTTTTCTGCTGAGCACTGAACTGGAATCTCCCACTGTAGGTAGGTACACCAGCATTCGTGCTATTTTTGTCTTCCTTTCTAAGCCTAGAGCGAAGGAACCTGCTTCTCCTGAGGTGGCCTGCTTTGTCCAGAGCTGTTCTGTTCACAGACAATTAGGGGATTGTCTAATAAAATTATTTTGTGGCTTAATGTTCAGCCAGAATCATGATGCCTGGGGAAGGAGTTGCCTAAGATTTCCTTCTGTACTGCACTGAGAGTTAAAAAGTTGCTCTGCTGTGCCTTAGCCCTGTGCACGAGTGTTTGCTGCCGGTGCTGTTGTGCAATGGTTGCTCCCTTCCCCACCCACAGAAGGACCTTGTAACCCAGATCTCTGCCCACAGACTCTGAAGCAATGGGGGCTCCCTGTTAATCCCATGCCACATAATGGCAATAGGTGTTGGCAGCTCCCTCTGGCAGAGGATTGTCTGGGTTGGCCTAAGACTTTGCTGTTTAACCCTTGGGGTCAGTTGGGCTGTGCCCATGTGTGGGGCACTGGGACTGATGAGCTGCCTTTTGGGTGTCCTGGGAGAGGATTGGTGCTCAGGCACCCTGACTGTGCCCGTAGGATGCAGCCATGAGCTGCTTTGGGATTCAGGGATCAGGCAGGGCTGTGTGCTGCTCCCTCTCCATCATGATGGGGACAGAATAAGTTCTCTCAGCCCTCACAGTGCAGGACAGTTCAGGGCTCTGTGTGTGGCCTTAGCCCGTTGCACCCACTTGATGTGCGTTTCCTCTGGTGTTCCAGGTGTACCAGCTGGACACAGGGCACTACTTATGCAGGAATAAATACTATGGACGCGGCCTTTCCATCGAAGGCTTCCGCAATGCCCTCTACCAGTATCTCCACAACGGCATCGAGCTGCGCAAGGACCTCTTTGAGCCTGTCCTTGCCAAGCTGCGGAGCCTGAAGGCGGTTTTGGAGAGACAGGCCTCCTACCGCTTCTACTCCAGCTCCCTCCTCATCATTTACGACGGGAAGGACAGCCGGGCGGGGATGTTTGTGGAGCGCCGGCCGGAGGCGCGCCTGAAGCGGGTGGACGGCTCTGTGCCCGAGAGCCTCCAGGACGGCAGCGGCACCGAGCCCGGCTCCTCGGCACAGCCCAAGGTGGACGTGCGGATGATTGACTTTGCACACAGCACCTTCAAAGGCTTTCGCGACGACCCCACTGTGCACGACGGACCCGACATGGGCTACGTCTTCGGGCTGGAAAGCCTCATCAACATCATGGAACAGATGCGCGAGGAGAACCAGTAGCCCTGGGCTATGGCCTCTTATTCTTGTCCCGGTGGCCCGAGCAGACAAGACCACCTACTACCACGGGAAAAACACAACTTTGGTTTTAAACAACTGTATCACTCCATTGTTTTTAAATGTACTTGGATAGGAGAGCCGAGGGAGGCAGGATGGAAGAGCTCCTCGTGCCGACCAGACGGTTCCAACCACACTAGCTCTGCCTTCTGGAGGAGGCTCTGTAGATGCCTGCTGGGTGTCGGGTGTCCCGGTTCTTCACTCCTTGTGTGCGCATTTTGTGGAGGGAGGATCTGGATGTAGGGATGAGAAAGCAGGAGAGCCTGGGGCTCTTCACGTGGCTGGAGCTCTGGTGTGAGGAGCCCCCGGGAGAGCCTTCCCTTCAAAATTCTCCAGAGCTGTTTGGAAAGGGCGCTCCACTAACGGTTGGCAGCGTCTGTGTGGCCGCTGGTGAGCAGCTCAGGTGCCGGTCCCTGCGTTCGGTGTTGCTGGCTCTGCCCTGGGTTTTGCCAGTGGGGCTTTGCTTTTGATGCTGCCTTTTTCTGCTGTTTGGGCACTGTGAGTAGCCACCCCAGACACAGAAATGAAATGACCAAATGCAACCCCTGGCAGAGCTGCGGCTGGGAGGGAACGCCGCGCACCTGGAGCTGTGCTCGAGCCCTGGGCCTGCTCCCTCTGATGCTGTGGCACGGGGCAGGCACGGGGCTCTGAGGGAGTGACTCTACTCTGGAGCACTGACCAAGCAAGCACTCAGCTCGTGGGCTAGCAATAGTATCTGTAGCAGTTAAGATGACCCCAGCTGTCCAGCGGGGCCTTTTGGACCATTTCAACCCTTCCCCTCCTGTAATGTTGGTCCCACAGGCCGTACTGAGTCTGTCCCTCCAGCACAAAGATGCCCTCTGCTCCCAGGCCCTGCCCTTTCCAAAGGCCTGGGGGTGGTGGAAGAGAAGGCTGAGGGTTGGGGCTGACCCCCTTCTCCTCTCTGAGGATCTCCAGGGGCCAGGTAAGGGGGGACCTGGCTGAGTGGTGAGTGCCACTGCCTGCCTGTTTAGCTTTGCTTCCTGGAGTCAGTCTGTCCCAAAATAAATGTCCCCTGGCCTCCCTTGAGGCATTAACGTTTGATACTGTGGCCTGGTAGTACCAGACCGTACCCTGCTCCACATCACCCCTGTTTCTGTGCTGGGGCCCCCCGGCTGCTCCCTCCTGCTCTCACTGACTTGTTCCATGGCGTTACCATTACCCCAGTTCCCCGCCAGGCCAGGGTTGGGTTTGGGTTTTTTTTTATTTTAATTCCTTCAGGAAAGCTTGTTTGGGAATACTCGCATGTCGCATGTGTGCCGACTCCGTGTGTGCGCAGGTCTCTCGGACAGTGCGGGTGCTCGGCCAGCTGCGGGCATGGGCCTGTGCCACTGGTGGGGAAGGGGACAGGGACTGGGCCAGCTCTCTCTGCCTGTCTCCCAGCTCCTCAACACTTGTCCAAGCCATCGCTCCACTCCCACCTTCTGGACAAGGACCTTTATCCCTGGCCCGCTGCCCTGCGCTACTTCATCGCTCCTGCGGGTCGCTGCCTTCCCAGGAGTCGCAGGATTTTCAGGGAGCAGGTTTGCAGGAGGGACCGAGGTCGGGTGAGGGGCTGGGTGTAGCCAGCAGGTGCCCCAGGTGCCCCCAACAGCCGTGTTACCCCCCCGGCCCTGCCCCAGCGTGGCCTGTCGCTGCCCCCCCTCTGCATGTCGTTGTCCCCTGGGGGCTGTGCTCGGGCAGGCCAGGCCCCACCTCCTGGGGAACCCCTTGGTGTCCCCCCGTGCCCATTCCTGCCGTTCCCACCTCGCAGGGCCGTGACAGACCTGCCACGCTGCTGGTGCTCCGCGGGAGTCGCCTCCCTCCCCTTCGGACCACCGCGGTGGGACTCCACAGCTTGTACATAGCCTTGGCCCCGTTTGTTTTTACATGAATAACCACCCTGTTTGTGCTTCACCAGAGAACCAAAACCATTAAAGGATCTGTTTTTGTCCGCGGTGTGCCGTGCCTGCCTCTGCCGCGTCTGAGCGCGGGGATGGGTGTGAGGAGGCTCGTGTTAAATGTCACCGCCCGGTGCGGGGTGTGGCCGTGCCCCTGCCCTCTTGTCCTCGGGGGAGCCCGGGCAGGGCTGCAGCCGGGACCGCTGCGGCGGGGAGCGAGCGGGACCGCTCTGCCCCGGGGGCGGGCGGGAAGAGAGTGCGGATGAGCGCTGGGAGCGGACGGGCGACGGCATCTGGGCGGACTCTAGGACCCAGGCGGGCGGGCTGGAGGACCAGGGCGGGCTCTGTGCCGGGGGCGGGCTATAGGAGCGGGGCGGGCTGGGTGTGCGGAGCGGGCTGTAGGACGCGGGAGGGCTGTAGGAGGGGCGCGGGTTCTGTACCGGGGGCGGGCTGGCTGTGCGGGGCGGGCTCTGTGCCGGGGGCGGGCTGCAGGACGCGGGCGGGGCGGGGCCGCGCTGCGGTGACGCGCCCAGCGCGCCGGGCGCTGACGTGTCGGTGCGGGCGCTGGCGCGGGACGCGGGGGATGCGGGCGCTGATCCTCGTGGGCGGCTTCGGGACGCGGCTGCGGCCGCTGACCCTGAGCCGGCCGAAGCCGCTGGTGGAGTTCTGCAACAAGGCGGTGCTGCTGCACCAGCTGGAGGCTCTCCGGCAGGTGGGGGCGCGGGGCGCGGGGGGTGCGGGGGCCGCCCCGCCGCCGGCTGACCCGCGCTCCCGCAGGCGGGCGTCAGCCATGTGGTGCTGGCGGTGAGCTACATGTCGGAGGCGCTGGAAGCCGCCATGCGGGAGCAGGAACAACGGGTAAGGGCCCTTCCACCTCCCCCCCGCCTCCCTTCGCAACCCGGCCCTCCCCGCCACTCACCCTGTGCCCGCAGCTCGGCATCCGCATCTCCATGTCCCACGAGAAGGAGCCGCTGGGCACAGGTAGGATACGTTCCGGGGGCGGGGCGAGAGGGATGGAAGAGGTCGGGGACAGCGGGGTGCGTGCTGGGGGGGACACCGGGATGGGTCCGGCAGGGTTGGGGGACAACGGGAGGGGGACAGCGTGGACAGCAGCGTGGGTATGGACAGCGTAGGGATGGGTGGACCGGGAGCACCGGGAGGGGATGCCAGGATGGATATGGGCAGGACCAGGGATAGCGAAGCCAGCTGAGGATCCAGAGGGACTGGGGACTTTGGGGGAGGGATGTTGGGGCGGGCAGAGGCGGGGCCAGCAGGACCCGGGCACTGGGCTCACCGCGTCCCCGCGGGGTCACTCCCGGCCGGGCAGCGGGGCCGCTGGCACTGGCCCGGGACCTGCTGGCCGAGGACGGGGAGCCCTTCTTTGTCCTCAACAGCGACGTGATCTGCGAGTTCCCCTTCGCGGCGTTGGCCCGTTTCCACCGGCAGCACGGCGGCGAGGGCTCGCTGGTGGTGACCCGCGTGGAGGAGCCGGCCAAGTACGGCGTGGTGGTGTGCGAGGCCGACACCGGCCGCATCTGCCGCTTCGTGGAGAAGCCGCGCGTCTTTGTGTCTAACAAGATCAACGCCGGGCTCTACATCTTTAACCCCGGCATCCTGCAGCGCATCCAGGTACAAGCCGGGGCGCTGGGCTGGGCTGGGCTAGGGGGCTGGGCTCCCGGCTCCCTGCTCAGCCCTGCTCCCTGTCCCTGCAGCTGCGCCCCACCTCCATCGAGAAGGAGATCTTCCCGGCCATGGCGCAGGACGGGCAGCTCTATGCCATGGAGCTGCAGGGTAAGGCCCTGTGCACAGTGCAGGCAGCATCAGGGGGTCTTGCCTGCTCTGCCACCCCTGCTCTGGGGGTTGTCACCATGGCTCTGTCCCCACAGGCTTCTGGATGGACATTGGGCAGCCAAAGGACTTCCTCACGGGCATGTGCATGTACCTGCAGGCACTGCGGGCTCAGCACCCTGAGAAGCTGCACTCGGGGCCCGGTGTTGTAGGGAATGTGCTGGTGGTAAGTGCCAGCCCCCAGCACACCACCCCTTGGGCTCTCCGTGCCATCCCACTGCTCTCCTCACTTCCAACCTCGAGCTGTGCCCTCTTGTCCCCACGCTGGCCGAGCGGCCTGGGCTGTGCCAAGAGCTCTGTCTGCCCTTCCAAATCTGGCACAGCCCATCTTCCTTCCAGGACCCCAGTGCCAAGATTGGGGCAAACTGTGTCATCGGACCCAATGTGACGATCGGGGCTGGCGTGGTGGTGGAGGACGGGGTGCGCATCAAGCGCTGCACCGTGCTGGAGGGGGCCCGCATCCGCTCCCACTCCTGGCTGGAGTCCTGCATTGTGGGCTGGAGCTGCTCCGTGGGCCAGTGGGTGAGGCCCTGGGTACCCCTGCAGGGTATTGAAGCTCAGCTCTTGCCCTCCCTGCTCCTCGGGCCGTGGCTGGAGGGATGTGCCGGTGCCTGTGGGCAGGAGTGGGAGCACAGCCCTGGGGCTGAGCCGGGCAGGTGTGACGGGGCCTCTCCGGGCAGGTGCGCATGGAGAACGTGACCGTGCTGGGCGAGGACGTCATTGTCAACGACGAGCTCTACCTCAACGGGGCCAACGTGCTGCCACACAAATCCATCGCCGAGTCCGTGCCAGAGCCGCGCATCATCATGTAGCAGAGTGCCCTGTGACCCCGCCCTCCTCGGATTAAATATTTATATTTCCATTTACTGTTCAGCGTTACCTGAGCACGGCCCAAACACTGGGTCGCTTGCCAGGGCTGGTCTGGCTTCCCCTCCCTGTGTCTCAAGGGACCACATAAGGAAGAATAATTTAATGTTGCATTTCACGAAGTCAGCCCCCAGCCAGGGGCAAGTTAACAGCCCGAACGCCCAGCCCGGCCCCCCTGCCCTGGAGCTGCCACATGTTCCCAGCGCTGCCGCAGAGCCGAGGCCTCGGGCTCCCCTCCCTGAGAAAGGCCCACGGGGCAGAGAGGCTGCCAGGCAAGGGGACGCTGGCCTCTCCCACCCTGCAGCCCCCCACCCCACGCTGCAGCCCCGTGCTGGGTCCTGGCCCTCTGGGTGAGGGTCCCACGGCCCTGAGCAGGGCAAGCGTTTGGGGACAAGCCAGCATGGGGCAGAGGGGCCACCCCAGTCATCTGAGGGAGCCTGTGGGGCGGGGCTGGGCTCTACGAGCTGGCTGGCTTGGTGAAGTCGTCCACCCCCGTGATGGTGGCCTTGCAGAAGAAGCAGTCCTTGTTGTTCATCAGGTGCTGGTTGATACAGGCTCTGGGACAGAGGAGGAAAGAGCATCAGCCCCCCACCCTCATGGCACAGGGCGGCTGGGGGCTGGCAGTTGCCCTGGTGGGGCTCAGGCATGGGAGCTACTCACTTGCATGACTTGTGGGAGCAGGGCCTGAAGATGGCGGAGATGGGGTGTGCGTAGCAGATGGGGCACAGGTCCTCCTCGCTGGTGGGCTGTGGGGGTCACCGGGCAGTTATGTGGCAGACAAAGCCATGTGTCTCAGGGCAGCTGTGCCAGAGCTGGGGCTGCTGCTGAGGATGGGGGACAGGGCTGGGGAGAGGGAACACTCACCAGTGTGGTGGCAGCTGCCTGCTTGGACTCCTCGCTCAGGTGGCTCAGCATCTTCTCCACCTTTGCCAGCTCCTCAGCACTGATGTACTCTGTGTCTGGGGGAACAGAGTGGGTGTGTGTAGGGTAGACGGGACCCTCGGGCTGCCCTGAGGCTTCTGGGTGATGCAGGGTGGCTGTATCCCTTGGGGACCAGCCAGGACAGGGATCCCCGTGCTGGGGACAGCAAGCTGGACATTGGGCACTGAGAGGGACAGAACTGCTGACAAGCAGGCACTGGAGACATCCCCATCCAAAGTGCCCCTGGTGGGGGATAAGGGTCATGGATGTCTGTCCCCAGGACTAAAAGGGCAGGGATGTGTTGCAGGGGACACAGACACCACCAGCAGCCCCGTTCCCAGCCCAGCTGTGGGCAGGTGGTGAGCACAGCCCAGCTCCCAGCGCAGTGCCAGCACTTACAGGTGTGCAGGGAGAAATGGCGCTTGTCCGTGGCAGGGGCAGCAGCTGCCAGGGCCGAGGGCTCGGCGTGGCCCAGCAGGTACTGGATGGAGCGCAGCTGGAAGCAGGGATCCGCCAGCAGCACCGCCGTCGCTCGCTCGGCCCTGCCAAGGGACACAGTCAGACCACAGACAGCACGCCCTGCAGGCCCAGGTCACCCCACTGCAGCCCCAGCTGCTGGTCCCCCCGCTCCCTGAGAGCCAGGGAAAGAGGCCCAACTGCAGCCAAAGTGTAGCAGCCATCTTCCTCCTCCTCCTCCTCTGTCAGCCTCGACTTGGAGGCTCTGGCGATCGATACGGTGCATCAGCACTTGCTGAGGCTGCAGCCCTCGCACTGGTGCCCAGGGAGTGGCTGGGGCTGCCAGCGCTACCCTGTGTCACAGCCCCGCGGGGGAGAAGGGGAGATGTCCCACAGCAGCCTCACGCCAGGGGCTGTGGCCCCCCTGCAAGGGGACAGCTCAGGGTGCCCCCAGGGCAAGCAGGTGCCCCCACGAGACAGGAGGGAGCAGCCGTGGCTCTCCCTGGCCTCAGCAGGGACAGGTAGGAGGGATGAAGGGCACCTTAATGGGTGTCTCCATGGGGCATCAGTGCCGTGGCCTGTTCATGGCCCTTGGCAAGGAGCAGAGCTGGCTCCGTGGCCGGCCCAGGGGCAAGCCCAGCCACTCCAGCGGCAGGAGGGGCAGGAGGAGCGAGGGAACAGCCGGTTGGTGCAGGCTGAGCCGGGGTGCAGGGGGTTAACAGCCCCTTGACTCGCAGCAGCCGCAGCCGCCAAATTAGCTTTTTGCTGCCCTAATGGAAACCAATTCCCCAGCTCTCCTCTTCCCACTAACCGCCTGGGCTCTGGATAATGACATTCCTGCGTGTCCTTCACCCTGTGGCCGCCCCTTCTCCACCAGCAGCCCGCGGCTCCCCCTCTGCCGTGGGGACCTTACGGGGGCTCGGCCATCCTGTTTGTTCACCCCATGGCCGAGGGTGCTGGG